TATATATCGGACACTTAATCTGGTGAGCATGATTGCCATTTGAATTCTGTTTTGCCGGCCTTGTTTATGTTGTGACTTTCCAGAGGAATTAGTTTCAAATCAAAAGATGGTAATTAGGTTTGTCCTATTTCTCCATATTTTATCCTTTTGTCCCCCCATTCATTCTATATGTAGATTCTAGCTCTTGGGGATCAGCAGTTGGTGCGGAGTTGATTTTGCAGAAAATCATTTATGTATTCTTTCAGTCTTAAGTGGCAGAAAGATGCAGTATGTGTTCTTTTATTAAGTGATATTTGAGTTTTTCCTCTTTTAGTTTTTGGGGTTTTTGAGTGTTTTGTGATGTTTGCTTGACAACTTGGGTAGAATCTAAGTATTTTGCAAGCAGGCTGGAAGGCGGATGCTTTGCTTGCCTCCTCGTATAAAGTTTTAAAGTCTGTTTGACTTTTTTTTAAAAATTTCTGCTTTATTGAGAAGGTGGTGACTATTGAAGCATAGGTTTGGAGGCATATGTTAACAGTTTAATGCCAACTGATGTATGTATTGAGCAGGTCAAGTTGTATAGTAAATGTGACTTTGTATCAAGAAAATTCAGTGACGTTGGCAAGAAATAATTAACAAGATGAATGTTAATATTAGAGTCCATGGATGGTTAGATTTTTTTGTCACTTAATCAGACTTGCACTTTGATGGTGTTTATGCTTGATGTACCCAAATCAGTCTTGGTTCTTTTTGGACTATTCTTCTTAGAAGTTTGTTCAAAGGAGATTATAAGGAGTATCATTATATAACAGCCTCTGAAATTTTGTAGTATATGGTTTTGGTATTTGTTTCCAAAAAAGCTTAAATATAGGTATACATTTAGGCCACACCAACCTCTTTTAAATCTGTGGGATGTGTTAAATCATTTAGACTCCAAGGAGAGCTTTAGAACTCTGAACTCTTTCTGAGAGAGAAAAAAAGCCTTTAGTGGTTGCATAACAGGAAGCGTTAAAACAGCTGGGTAGCTTGAGTTGATATTATGCATTAAAAGCGTACCCCCTCCCCTTTTTTGTTCTTTCTTTTCATCTTCCACAGGAAGAAAGGGATACTATAAACACTGAGCTTCATGCTGATCTCCAAAGACATGGCCCATTTCCTCCTGCAGTTGTCCTCTTCTCCCTGTTGGTTAGGTAATTCTTAGTCCTGACAGTGGAACAGCTTTTGTTACCCTTTAACAATTTTAAACTGACAGTTGTCAAGTGCCCTTGAGTGCGTTTCAGTTTCCAGGGTGACTGATTGCAGTCCTCAAGTGGAGAGAGGTTTGTACTTCTCCTATTGGAGAATCCTGGGCTGTCTTCTTACTCACAGGAATCTTGAGCTACTTATCCTATCTCCAGGAAAGGGTATTGGTGGTGGTTCAGTGGTGGAATTCTCACGAGAGACCAGGGTTCTATTCCGGGCCAGGGCACCTCATGTGTAACCACCGCCATCTGTCAGTGGAGCTTCCAGACTAAGACAGACTAGGAAGAAAGACCTGGGGATCTACTTCGAGTAAAGAGCCTATGAAAACTCTGTAAATAACAGTGGTCCAATCTGCAAGTGATCATGGGGTGCTGCAGGGAATTCATTTCATTGTGGATGTCATCACCATGAGTTGGAGCCAGCTGGACTGTGTTGTTGTTGTTGTTATGTGCCGTCGAGTTGGACCCGACTCAACGACCCCTCCTTGGGTTTCCGAGGCAGTATCACTACGGAAGTAGATTGCCCCATGACTGTAAGCAACAATAACAACAAGCTTCAGGAAGCTTGACTTTTAGGAGTGAGCTGAGAATTTCCTGCTCTAACTAACTAAGCGCTGGTAGCATAGTGCCTAAGACACTTGACTGCTCACCAGAAGGCTGGTGGTTCAAACCCACCAGCCACTCCTTGGAAGGAAGGTTGGGCAATCCTACTTCCGTAGTGATACTGCCTCAGAAACCCAAGGAGGGGTCGCTATGAGTCGGGGCCGACTCGACGGCAAACAACGACAACAACTAACTTTCTGGGTATGTCTGGCCACATTGTTTGGTGTGTGAATGACCAGGGTGCCACCACCACTCAGTGCTGGTACAGGAGATTTGCATTCAGCCCCTCCCACGCTGTGCTTGGCTGAGCTACATGCAGAAGATTCTTGTGGATTTTGATGTGAAAGAGTTTCGTCATAATAAAGGGAGAGGAACATTTAAAGCTTGGCCACAATATGTAAAATATGTAGAGCAGAAGTATTCTAAAAACACCTGATTAAAACTGGTTGTCAACATGGCAACTCTATGTCAGAGTAAAAACTGTGCTTCATGGAGTTTTCAGTGGCTGATTTTTCAGTGGATCACCAGGCCTTTCTTCCAAGGTTCCTCTGGGTGGACTTGAACCATCAAGTTTTCAGCCCCAGCTGAGTATATTAACTATGTATATCACCCACAGATTGGAGGTATTCTAAAGAAGTCCTTTAGGTATTTTAAAGAAGTGTTTCATACTTCCTTCAAATTATTTTTTTCTAAGCTTTTATTTTTTTGGTAATAGTTTAGTAAAGCAAAATTCTCAAACTTAACAACATCCTTTTAAATTATTTTTTTTCCAAAGAAAAATGTTATCAAGAGCCTCATAATTATAACATCCTTAGACAATACTTACAGGCATTGTAATTTATAATTCTCTGTGTTTATTTAATTAACTGAACATAATTGACAGTGAAGAGAAATGTCCATTTGGACTCCGTTCCTTATGACAACCTGAGAATTGACCTTGAATCAGAACAGGGTTGCCAGTGAAGGAATTGTTTTGCCCCCTGCTTAACCCCAGAGACCACCTGACTAAATCAATCCTGCATTTAGGAATGTGTTTCATAAGGAAGGGATGCCTGAGGCTCTGAACTGTCAGAAGATGACCCAGGAGAATTTCTAGGTGTTTTTCTGGGATGCTAATCGCATTTCCTAAAATAATCCAGGACTTTGCCAGGGGTAGCAAGTGCTGAGATGGAGGACAGGTGAGCAGCCTGGGCTGTTTAGGATAAGATTGATAATTCATATTGATCCCCAGGTAATACTTATGTATACGTAAGTAAGAATATATATGGAGGGTCTGGTTAAAATGTGGATTGTGATTCAGTATAACTGGTGTTGAAAGGCATATTCTCAGCAGGGGGTTAAACCACAATGAATGGGTTCAAAGCCTAGTTAAAAAAAAAACTACTGCCTGCACCCCCCACCATAGAGATGCTGATTGAATCGGTCTGGGGTGTGCATCAGGTACTGCTCCCACGTGATCCCAATATGCAGCTAACGCAGAGAACTATGGTGTATCGTGGTGGGTTTTGTTTGTTTTTAAGCAGTCTGTGCTTTGGAGAGCTATTTTGCATAACTTGAAAAGTTGGAATTTGGAATCTTAGAATCGTTTATTTTAAATGGATGACAAAATTTTCTGCAACCTTTCTGATCTTCACTTGAATCATCCAGAGAAGAGGTTTGGTGAAGATTAGAATCTTCTTGTGAGGCTTGTGTCAGTGCCCAGCTTCCCTTATTCATTTATTCTCATTCTTATTTCTCTCTTTGGGAAAGCTGCAGAGATGGAAACTTTTTTTTTTTTTTTTTTTTAAATCATGGTAAAATGTATATAATAAAACTTTTGCCATTTCAACCACTTTTGCACATATAATTCAGTGACTTTAGTTACATTCACCGTGTTGTGCAATGGTGACCACTCTCTGTTCCCAGTTTTTCATCACTCTGAACATAAACTCAGTGCCCGTTAAGCAATGACTCCCACCTGCCACTGATAAACTTTGGTCTCTATGCATTTGCCTAGGCTACATATTTCATATAAGAGGTATCATACAATCTTATTCTTTTGTGTCTGACTTATTTCATTCACTCAGTGTGTTTGCAAGGTTTTATCCATGTTGTAGCATGTATGGAAACTTCATTTCTCTTTCTGATGGAATAGGAAACTTTTTTTTTTAATTTATGAATGTATGTCTTTATCCATGAAGTTGCCTCAGTATGAATTATTAACAGAGAACAGAAGAATCTTCCCTTGTAAAATAGTCTCCAGCGTTGCAACCCACACCCACTGCCATCAAGTTGATTCCAATTCATAGCGACCCTATAAGACAGAGTAGAGCTACCTCATAGGTTTTCCAAGGCTATAAATCTTTACAGAAGCATATTGCCTCATCTTTCTTCTGCTGAGCAGCTGCTGGGTTCGAACTGCTGACTTTTGGTTAGCAGTCTAATGCTTTAACTATAGCACCACCAGAGCTCCTCCCAGCATTGCAAAGTGTAGTAGATAATGCATTGAAGTGAGAGTCTGATTAAGAAGTCTAATTAGTAAGCCATGTATTTTGGGTAAAATACACTTGCTTTCCTGTGTCTCTCCCATCTATAAGTTTTTGTTCTGGTAAAGAATATAGGCTTTGGAGCCAGACTGCCTGACTCTACCACTTAGCTGTGTAATTTTGGATGAATTGCTTAACCTCTCTGGGCTTCAGTTTTCTCAACTGTAATAGCCTTTACTCACCACGTAGAGTGGATTAAGTGAATCAAACTAACACCTGGTACACAGGTAGTACTTAATAAACAGTCACTATTATTACGGAGTTGCTGGGTGGTGTAAATGGTTAATATGCTTGGTTGCTAACTGAAAGGTTGGAAGTTTGAGTCCACAGAAGTGTCTTGAAAGAAAGACCTGGTGATCAGAAAAATCAGCCATTGAAAATCCTATGGAGGACAGGTCTACTTTGGCACATGTGTGGTCTCCATAAGTTGATGCGGACTCAACAGCAACTGGTACTGGTATTGTCATTATGGATGTTTTGAGCAGTTAATGAGCATCTAGCGTGTGGAGCGATTTGGGGAAACATGAGATGTGATTCATCTGTGACAGCTCATTAACCAGGAAGAACTCATTCAGGAGAGACAGGTGTTGAGACAAGGCCCTTTAATTAGGACTAACTGTATCTGCCTTGCTTTTTAAACCATGTTCTGCAGAGTACAGAACAGGTGGCCGCATTTTGCCGCAGCCTGCATGACATGAACTCTTCTGACCAGAGCCCATCTCCTCAGGACTCTACCGGGCCTCAGCTGGCAACCATGAGACAACTCACCGATGCAGATAAGCTTCGCAAGGTGATCTGTGAGCTCTTGGAGACAGAGCGCACCTACGTGAAGGTATGTCTTGTTCTTCCTGCCTCCCTTTCCTACAGGACCTGCTTTCCCTCCTCTTCTAAGGCATGTAGTTTATGTGTTTATGTATATATATATATACATATATATATTTACAACCTTGGCTAAAAACAAAGTCAACTTGTAGTGTGAAGAGGCTCTTGGTCTTTGGCTTTTATTCTGCATTTAAAATCACCTGTTAGTTTTGGGAGTCCCTGGGTGATGCCAATGGTTGACGTACTTGGCTGCTAACTGAAAGGTTAGGGATTTGAATCCACCTAGAAGGAGCCTCAGAAGAAAGGCCTGGCGATCTGCTTCTAAAAAATCAGGCATTGAGAGCCATTGGGAGCACAGTTCTATTCTGACACTCGTGGGGTCACCATGATTCAGAATCTACTTGATGGCAAATAGGTTTTTTGGGTTTATTTTGTTTTAAGGAAGCATATCAGTATAATAGAATTATTTTTCAATAATATGATTGTTTATCTGCCTGATCTTTTTAAATATGTTGTTGAGATAATGGGAAAAGTGAATTTGGATTTGACAAACGAGGGTATTGTATTTATAATCTAATTGGAGTCTAGGCAGAATGGTAATTAGATCTGTTTTCTTTGTATTATCACTCCTGACATTTATTCTCATTCCCTATGTTGAAACAGTGCAATCTGTTTTTAATTATCTGTTTCACTCTTTAAATCAAGATCAGCAGATTATGACCCTTGGCCAGCTCTAGTCCCCAGCCTGTGTTTGTTAATAAAGCTTTATTGGAACACAGCTATATTCGTTTGTGTAGAGTCTTTAGATAGGGGATGCTGCATGGTTTAAAATCAGAGAGGGAGTGCGTCAGCGTTGTATCCTTTCACTATACTTATTCACTCTGTATGCTGAGCAAATAATCCGAGAAGCTGGACTATCTGAAGAAGAATGTGGCATCAGAATTGGAGGAAGACTCATTAACAACCTGTGATATGCAGATGACAGAACTTTGCTTGCTGAAAGTGAAGATGACTCGAAGTACATACTGATGAAGATTGAAGACTACAGTCTGTAGTATGGGTTACACCTCAATATAAAGAAAATGAAAATCCTGAAGTAGACCAATAAGCAGCATCACAATAAATGGAGAAAAGATTGAAGTTGTCAAAGATTTCATATTACTTGGTTCAACACCAATGGAAGCAGCAGTCAAGATATCACTCAACATATTGCACTGGGCAAATCTGCTACAAAAGACCTCTTTGAAGTGCTGAAGAGCAAAGATGTCTCCTTGAAGTCTAAGGTGCATCTAACCCAAAAACCAAACTAAAACCAAACTTACTGCCATCGAGTCAGATCTGACTCATAGCAACCCTTCCTTAGGTTTCTGAGGTGGTATCACTATGGAAGTAGATTGCCCAACCTTCCTTCTGGTTAGCAGTCACATGCCTTAGGCACTATGCCACCAGAGCTCCTGCACCTAACCCAAGCCATGGTATTTTGGTAGTGTAGTGCCTAAGGCACTTGACTGCTAACCAGAAGGCTGGCGGTTCAAACCCACCAGCCACTCCTCAGAAGGAAGGTTGGGCAATCTACTTCCGTAGTGATGCTGCCTTGGAAACCCAAGGAGGGGTCGCTATGAGTTGGGTCTGACTCAGTGGCACATAGCAACAACATAACAGCATATGCATGTGAGAGTTGGATAATGAAGGAGGAGGACTAAAGAAGAGTTGATGCTTTTGTGTTGCGTTGTTGGCGAAGAATACTGAAAGTACTATGGACTGCCAAAAGAACTAACAAATCAGTCCTGGAAGGAAGTACAGTTAGAATGCTCCTTGGAAGCGAGAATGGCCAGAATTCATCTCACCTACTTGGGTCATGTTGTCAGAAGGAACCATTCCCTTGAAGAAGGATATCTTGCTTGGTAAAGTGGAGGGTCAATGAAAAAGGGGAACATCCTTAACCAGATGTATTGACACAGTGGCTGCAACAATGGGCTCAGTCAGGTATAGCAAGGATTATGAGGCTGGCACAGGACCGGGCAGTATTTTGTTCTGTTGTACATAGGGTCGCTATGAGTTGGAGCTGACTCGACAGTACCTAACAACAACATAGTCTTGGTTACTTTTGTGCTACAACAGTGGAGTTGTATAGTTTCGACAAAGAACATATAACTTGAAAAGGCTGAAATAGTTACTAGCTGACATTTACCGAAAAGGTTGTCTGTCCACTGCTTGAATGGACTTTAGACACCTAAAGACTAATGTTAACTTTTTGAACATAGTCTGTTTTTCTTTATATTCTTTATAAGCTTTTAGATGTACTAATGAGATTTCTTTTCCACCTTTAGGACTTAAATTGTCTCATGGAGAGATACTTGAAACCTCTTCAAAAAGAAACTTTTCTCACCCAAGATGAGGTATGGTGGAATTGTCTTAACTTTGTGAGGGTCACATTGTATTTTTGACTTGTTGGTAAACAGAAATGAATGGGGAGCACACATAGTACTGAAAGCATTTGGAATTTGCTTATTGTAATAAGTAGGTCACTTTTTTGCCTTCTAAGCTGTTTGACTTAGAGAATATGGAGCTGCCCTACCCTCTGGAATTGTTGAATATTGATAGAAAAACTTGGTAATCAGATAAACAAAATTTCTGAACATTAATGAAGTAGTATAGGGTGGATTAACTTCTAGTTCACTTTTCAGCTTGATGTACTCTTTGGAAATTTAACTGAGATGGTAGAGTTTCAAGTGGAATTCCTTAAAACTCTAGAAGATGGGGTGAGGCTGGTACCTGACTTGGAAAAGCTTGAGAAAGTTGATCAATTTAAGGTAAGTCTCATCCTCAAATAGTGTAAAGCTGCCTCCTAATGTCTTAGGGTGGTACAAACGTTTAATGTGTTTGGCTGCTAACCAAAAGGTTGGAGGTTCAAGACTACCCAGAGAAGCCTCAGAAAAAAGACTTGGTGATCGACCATTGAAAATCTTATAAAGTACAGCATCTAACACACATGAGGTTACCATGAGCTGGAGTCAACTTGATGGCAACTTTTTTTTTTTTTTTTTTAATGTTATGAGTAGACTATCCTATGGATAAAGTTGAGTACCCTGCTAACACATCAAAGGTGGCCTTATGCTCTCTTTGGTAAGTTCTTGTGCTCATGGTTCTACAGACTTCATTGGGTTGCCCATTGTGGGCCAGTTCCTAAAGAGCATCTGAGAAGGTCCCTGACTGTGTCTTGTTTTTCTGGCTGAACTGAAGTCAGTGCCATCTACTTGCATTAAACTGGTGCATCTGTTTGCTTCTACTTTGGAAGATATACCAACCTTGGCCTTTATTTCTGTTTATGATGGGAACTTTAATACATTTGCTATTAGCAAATTAGAATAGCACCCCAGGTCTCCCAGTAACCAGATTAATTTTTTCTGTTCTGCGAAACTTTGCTTAATGGAAAAGCTTATCATTATCCAGAGGAAGACAACCTTCCAGAACACAGTGTCCTCCAGCCTTAATGAGGATGTATGACTAGTGCCTTAGTTAGGATGCTCTTGGCTTACTTCTTCCTCCCCAGTTGGCTTTCCTTTATTGCAGAGATTTCCTGAGCTGCAGTTGTAATCAGCAAAGCTCATTGATTTGTGTGCAGTCATAAGGGTACACAAGATATGTCATCATATGTCCTAAGCACACAGATGTGTCATCTTTAGTGAAGTGTCCACATCTTTTGCCCAATTATATTTTCTTACTATTGACACATGACTTAACTACCACATGTATCTTGAGTTTGGTGTTGATATGTATGAAATTTTTGCCTACATCAGAGTCATAAGGATTAATGTTTTCTACTAGAAGTTCTGTAGCTTTGGGATTTTCATTTAGGTCTCTGATCTGTATTGAGTTGAATTTGTATAAGGTGGGATAAGTAGATCAAAGTGTCTGTCCACATCTTTTGCCCAATTATTATATTTTCTTATTGAGTTTTTGGAGTTCTTTGTATATTCTAGTTACAAGTTCCTTATCCAGATACATAATTTGTAAATGTTTTCTCCCTGTCTGAGCCTGTATTTTCATTCTCTTAATAGTGCCCTTAAATGAAAAAAAGTTTTTAATTCCCAGGAAGAATAATTTATTAAATTTTTCCATTTTTTTCCTGTTTTGATCTTCTAGTGCTGCTCTAACAGAAAGTACCACAAACGGATGGTTTGACCAACAGGGGTTTATTCTCTTAAAGTTTAGGAGTCTGAAAGTCCAAGTTCAAAGTGCCAGCTCTAGGGGCTGAGTAAAAGCCCTTCAACCTTGGGCTTTAGCTCTGCCTCTTGCTCCTGGCCCACTAAAGCTGGAGACTTCTCTTACCTCAGACAGCTGTTGGCTGCTTGAGGCTGACAAACCCAAGGTCAACAAGTAAAAAGGCACAGTCTCCAGATTATCGAATAACATGGCAGGCCACTAATTCAAGTCCATTAACAATCACAAGATTGGCGGACAACATGGCAGGCTGCTGAATGACAGCTTGGCTACATGCAGGATTCAAGCATGCCAAAAACTGTAGAGACCTTTCTCAAAGCTGCTGCTTATATACTGGAAGCAGACCACATCCTTAAGGTATCTACTCAGCTGCTCCAGTAGATTCCACCATGAAGGTGATCCAGTCTTACCATGGGGAATAACTCCATCCAGCTGCCCAGCCACTCGAAACGAGGCCCAGCCAAATTGACACACAACTTACCTACCACATGTGTCATGAGTTTGGTGTTGATATTAGTGAAATTTTTGCCTAGATCAGAGTCATAAGGATTTTGTTTTCTTCTAGAAGTTCTGTAGCTTTGGGATTTTCATTTAGGTCTATGATCTGTATTGAGTTGAATTTGTATAAAGTGTGATAAGTAGATCAAAGCTCGTTTATTGGGGCACTATGCATATCTAGTTTTTCTAACTCTATTTTTTTTGGGTGTGTGTGTGTATATGTGAAAAGACTAGACCCTTTTAGACCTTCTCCACTGAAATTCTTCTGCACTTCTGCTGAAAATCAGTTGTCCATATATGGGGCCTCATACAGTTTGCCTCACTTCTTCTAATGGTTGTTGAAATTTGGCTGTGTAATACTAGTATAAGGAGACCTGGTGGTGCAATGATTAAGTGCTCCTCTGCATTCTGAGTTTGGCAGTTCAGACCCATCCATTGGCTCTGTGAGATCAAGGCCTGGAGATCTGTTCCCATAAAGATTATAGCATAGAAAACCCTATGGGGCAGTTCTCCTCTGGTGTATAGAATTGCTTTGAGTTGCAGTGGACTCTCTGGCACCTACCAACAACAGCTCTATGGTAACTGTTCAGTATCATCTGTTTAATTTCAGTTAAACAGATGAATGACTTTGGAATAGCTAAAGTGAAGATTGCAATTAGAGCTTTTTCTTCCACAACTTTCTTATTTAGTTACTGAGTGTGACTCAAAGGATAACAATACCGTAAAGGGTCATACTGCCTCTACTAATACTATCTAAACTGGCAGGGGTCTTGGAAAGTAAAGTAAAGGAAAAAAGGTAGATGTATTCATTTCTTAGGGCTTCTGTAACAAAACAGTCAAAGCGTGTGGCTTAACACAACATAAAGTTACTTTCTCACAATTCTGGAAGCTGGAAGTTTGAATTCAGAGTGGCAGCAGGGCTATGCTCTCTCGATAGTCCTAGGATTTCTCTTCTAATCTCTGGTGAGCCCAGGCATTTCTTAACTTGCAGATACATATTCACCCTGTGTGTCTCTGTCTCTTTTCTTTCATCAGGAGGGTATGCACATTAAGAACTTCCTACTGGTGGCACAGTGGTTAAATATTTGGCTGTTTACCAAAAAAGTTGATCGTTTGAACCCACTAGCTGCTCTGCAGGGGAAAGATGAGACAGTCTGCTTTTATAAAGATTTATAGCTTTGGAAACTCTATCCAGCAGTTTTACTGTGTCCTCTGGGGTCGCTATGAGTAGGAATTGACTCAATGGTAGTGGGGTTTTGTTTTGTTTTATTCTTATATCTCCTTATATTAGCTGATAACATCTTCAAAGATTCTATTTCCAAACAGGGTCACATTCACATGTACTAGGGGTTAGGGCTTCAATGTATCTTTTTTGAGGAACACAATTCAATCCATAATGGTCCTTCCGAGTAGTGACTGGTGGGTTTGAACTGCCAGCCTTCTGGTTAGCAGTCAAATGCCTTAGGCACTATGCCATCAGAGCTCCTCAGTAGAATATGTAGGGAAATAATTTACACATCTGATTAGCAAGTATATGTCGTTTGAAAATCGAAAGCTAATTTTTTCTCTTTTTCTGGTCAGTAGACAGTCTTATCAGAATTCACTGAGTTATTAATTATATAAATTGAACTTTTGGGAATCCAATTTATCATTCATGTCTGAAACGTTATTTCCTTGCTTAGAACCTAACATTTAATTCTAAGCATGAAAACATAGTACTTCTCTTGAACTGAACAAGAATCGATCATTCTGAAGCCTACAGAAGATGTTTTTCTGAGGCCTGTTTATATATGTGTGTGTGCGTGTGTGAGTACACCAAACTCACTGCTATTGAGTCGATTCTGACTCATAGTGACCCCCTTTGGGTTTCCAAGATGGAAAGTCTTTATGGAAGTAGATTGCCCAGTGTTTCTCCCATGGAGTGGCTGGTGGGTTTGAACTGCCAACCTTCTGGTTATCAGTCAAATGCCGTAGGCACTATGCCACCATAGCTCCATATATATATGCATGTATGTATGTGTATATACATGTGTGTAAATCTTCACTTATAAAATGTAAAATGTGTGATTTAAAAGAAGCCTCCATTCAATTTTGATCATATGGGGCAGAGGGTGTAGGCTAGTAAGACAAGACATAGTGTACAAAATTGAGCATATTTCTGCCTTTAATGTTGCTTATATTCTTATTTTTTCCCTGTTAGAAGAGAGATGTGATATTGGAAGAGATGAAGGTACAGTGATGAGGGAAATATGTCTCAGTTTCTTTTTTTGAGGGGGTAGACATTCCCTGGCATTCCTGGTGGTACAAACTATTGACATGCTCAAGTGCTAACTGAAAAGTTAGAGATTTTAGTCTACCTGGATGTTACCACAGAAAGAAGGCCTGGTGATCTACTTCTGAAAAATGAGCCATTGAAAACCCCATGGAGCACACCTCTATGCTGACACACATGAGATGGTCATGAGTTAGTTGAAACCACAGCAGGTTGGACGTTCCCTGTCTACATTTGATGTATCACATCTAGCTCCCCATACAACATAATGAGAGTTCTCTACCTTTTCCAAAATGTTGTATATATTAAAAGACACAGGCCTGGAAAATCAGTGGTGTTGCCACTGTACATACTGAGAAAACAAACTCTTGCATCTGTTATATAAACTTGTAAGCCACGTCCCTTCTTAGAGGTAATCTGAGGAGCATCAGTGGTCAAAGAAGGACCCAGACAGGTGTGAATGTTGCTAGAGGGTCAGAGGGTGTTAGCTCCCTGATGTATCCTGCTTTTATTCGTACATAACCAAGAAAATGAACTAACTGTGCTTGTTCTCATTGTATCTAGAAAGTGCTATTCTCTCTGGGGGGATCCTTTCTGTATTATGCTGACCGCTTCAAGCTCTACAGTGCCTTTTGCGCCAGCCACACAAAAGTCCCCAAGGTTCTGGTGAAAGGTAAGGCTTGTGAAGACTGGGTGGTGGGTGGCAGGCGCATTAATTGCTGATTCACATTTGTGTAGTTCATTATGGTTGAGGGATCTTGGACATAAATCTGAGAGTCATTGGTATGGCAGTTAAGCGTTCCAAGAAGCCACAAATACAGAAATATATTCTTGCCAAAAATCTGTGTTGGATAGACATACTAATATGGTCCCCCTGTGGGCACTAAGGAATGAAATGCATTCATATTTTGAACTAGTAGTTTTGTCAGTTTTCTTTCTTTTTGTGTGATTAACTTCATTTTTATTTATTTATTTTTAATTTTATTGTGATTTGGGTGAAAGTTTACAGAGCAAGTTCACTTTCCATACAGCAGCTCACATATACTTTGTCAATACAACAGCTCCCCTTGTACTTCCTCCCCAAAGTTATCTCTTCCCTGTGTACTTCACTTCCATGCATTTCTGCTCCCTGTCTCCTTGTGCATACACAGCCCTTCTATTCTCCCACGATTGATCTCTCCAAGGAGTGTATCTACCTAATGTAAATGTTCAGCTCATATGCCTGTCTTTGGTTTGGCTGGAAGACACAGGAGTGGGTTCAGTTCCAGACATGAAGAAGGGCTTCTAAGGGCCATAGTGTCAGGGGTTCCATCAGGCTCTATCAGACCAGCAAATCTGGTCCCCTGCCTTTTTTTGTAATGATTTTGAGTTTTGTTCCAAATTATTCCCCCACTCTATCTCCTATATAGATCCCCCTCCAAGTGGTTGACAGTGGTAGCCGAGCACTATCTAATTCTTCTGGTCTCATAGTCCTGTAGGCTGAGAATCACATGATGTACCAGTCCCTTAGACTAGTTGTTTCCGTGCATCTTTGGTTTTCGTCATTTTTCTTTGCTATGGATGAGGAAGACCCATTGTTGCATCTAGATGGCTGCTTGCAGGCTTTCAAAATCCCAGTTGCTTCTCACCACAGTAGGATGTAGAACACTGTTTTTGTGTAGTATGTTATGTCAATTGAGCTTGATGTCCCCTGCAACTATAGCCCCAAGCTCACAAGTCCAACTACTAACTCCCTTTGGGTAGCTGGCTGTGGCCAAGAAGTGACTACAACCTTGTCCCTTGTCAGCTCTACTATACATCTAGGAATTCTTACAGAACATACAAATATGCTTGTAGAAATATTGTTTGCCAACCCTATACATGGTCATGGGCACACTCCTCCCTGCATAGATATGATATACCTAATAGTTCAGCCTGTCCACCCGTATATATCAATGTTTTGTCACTGAGTTTTGTCAGTTTTCTTAAAATGAAAGTTTGACCCAGCTACATAGTTTTGATGAAAATTGACAGGTCATTTTGCAGTTCATGAAGTAGAGAAATTATTGCTTTTTTCCAACTTCTCATTAGTTTCTCCTATAACTGACCTTATTACATATACCTTTTTGTGTAATATTATCTTCACCTCAAATATTTTTGTTCCTCCAAAACCGTAAAAGCAAACTCACTGCCATCAAGTTGATTCTGACTCATAGCAAACCCAATTAGATTTACAAGACTGTAAACCTTTACAGAAGCAGATTGCCTCATATGTCCTCTATGGAGTGCCTGGCAGGTTTGAACTACTGACCTTTTGGTTAGCAAGCAAATGCCTTAACCACTATACCATCAATAGCTCTTTATTTTTGTTCCTAGGGGTATGATAATAGCCATCACCATTACTAATTTTTCACGAAAATTGCTCAAGTGGCAATTATATTTTGCATAGGCCAGAAGAGAATTTTATGTTTACAACCTACTTTTCTTAAATGTTCTAAGAACATGATAGACTATTCTGAGATTCTTTAGAAATTAGTTGTGTTTCCATGGTTAGATGTGACTATTTTACTAGGTTAGGTTTTAACCTAGTAACCTCTGCAGGAGAGAGGTTGGTACTTTGCTTCCGTAAACATGGCAGCCTTGGAAACCCTATGAAGCAGTTCTTATCTTCCCTGTAGGGTCAGAGTTGGAATCAACTTGATGGTAGTGGGTTTGATTTGGGTTTTTGGTAGGAAATATTAGAGTCCCTGGAGGGTTCAAATGGGAACACAGTCTGTTGCTATCCAGACAGTTGACAGTTCAAGGTCACCCACAGGAACCTTGGAAGAAGGACTTGGCAATCTGGCTCTGAAAAATCAGCCATTGAAAATCCTAAGGAGCACAGTTTTACTCTGACACACATGGAGTCACCTTGAGTCGGGATTGACTCCATGGTTACTGGTAGGAAATACTAGTACAAGGCAGGTGTGGATAGCAAAAGAGCCTGCCTCAGATAATGGCAAACTTAATGATGGTCAATGCAACAAAGTTCTGGTTTGGCATAAAAATGTAAAGGGAACTTGAGAATTTCCTTGTCATGTTTTCTGACCTTGACCTTGTTTTCAGATGTGCTGTATTATTCATCTAGCTCTATGTGTTCTTTTAAACTTGTATTGGATGAGAGCTGTTTTGAAACTGTTAAAGTAACAATATTAGAGCACTTTGCTCTACAGTGAAATTGTATACTTATTATAATCCTTAAGCAATTTGTGTTATTTTTAATCATTCAATTAGATTAAAGTCTGCCCCAGTAGATTTTTTTTAATTCACTAACATTATTTTTTGTACCTGAAAAATATTGAGTCTTTCAAAAGTATCCCTTCAAACAGTAGGTATGACCCACTTTTACTCTAATTGCCAAATGTGCAAGAGGATGTCAAGAGCCCTCTCAGAAAAACAGAAGCCATGGCTGCAGGTCTTAACCAACTCATAGCGAGGTCAGGTGGGGAGTGACGCTCTTAACCCTGACAGAATGCTGTGAACCATGCACTCATGTGCTATGGCCCATAGCCGTAATTTTAGACTTGAGAATTTTAGGGAGATCTCTGGGCCCATTCTAGACATGGACTCAGATTTGAGGGTGCCCCACAGAAGCTGTAACTTCCTTATTCATTAGCCCTGGGCCTGGTCTAGCATCCATTGATCATCTTACTCCAAGTCTCCTTTCTCATTAAGGGTTTCTTCTCTAGAAGGAGGAGGAGAAATGATGACTGAACCTATGGAGTCTGATTCCTATTTTTTTCTTTTTTTTAAATTGCTGTGGCATTGATGCTGACTCATAGTGACTCCATGTGTGTTAGTGTAGAACTATGCTCCATAGAGTTTTCAGTGACTAATTTTTCAGAAGCAGATTGCCATGCCTTTCTTCTGTGGCACCTCAGGGTGGACTCCAACCTCCAACCTTTTACTTAACAGCCAAGGGTATTAACCATTTACACCATTCAGGGACTCCTGACTCCTTTTTATGGAATTTCAAAGGGATAGTCTTTAAAGAGTCTTCCCGCATGAGTACTGCTTTCCTTAATTGAATAAAGATGGTGAGAAGAATCATTTTTTGTTTCCAAGATGCTCCATTGTAATATCTGGTCTTGGCTTACTCTTCTAACCAATGGGGATAGAAATTTTTATCAGAAACTGTTATTGTTGCTTTCTAATGCATACCCACTGACAAATCACTTTGATCCTGTCCTTCTCTCCTCACTTTTCACCCTCTTTCATTCCACTTCTGCACTGTTCATTCCTTTGCATCTGGATGGACAGCGTTAGCCTTGAGTTCCTAACTCTCCACTGACAGGTCACTCTCTGTTCTTTTGGGGACCTTCAACTCCTCAGGTCTGCTTTTCTGCTAAGCAGGGTCATAGAATGTAGCACACTAGGAGATCAGTGCTGCCTGGGCAGTATGAGGTCAGATGTAAGTTTCCCTGTAAGATGACTGCCCTACAGATGCTGATAGCTGGTAGTACTCAGTTAACTGGAATAGATAATAGAAGGCATTCACTGTGGGAGATCTAATCTCTTTGTACTTAGCTACATCGAGTCATATGCTGCTTCTGGTTGTTGTTGTTTTGGCCTGCTTTTTCTCAAAGGAAGTTCTGTTATTGTTGGCTGCCCCTGAGCTGGCTACTGACTCATGGTGACCCCATGCACAGTGGAATGAAAAACTGCCCAGTCCTCTGCTGTCCCCATGATCATTTGCAGATCAGATAGTTGTGATCCATAGGTTTTACACTGGCTGATTTTCCAAAATAGGTCTCCAGGTCTTTCTTCCTAGTCTGTCCTTGTCTGGAAGCTCACTGAAACCTGTTCTGCACCGTATCAACACACAAGGCTCCACTGACAGATGAGTGGTGGCTACGTATAAGGTGCATTGGGTGGGAAATAAACTCAGGTCTCCCTTAAGAATTCCACCACTGAACGTCCACTGTCCACTGTCCCCATAAAAGAAGTTCTAATGGCAATGAAATGCTTAGGAAGGAGGATGACCAGCAGTCCCTGAAAAACCAAGATTGTAGCATTTACAAATTCTGTTATTCTTTCACTCATCATGCCCCCTGCAATAACTAAATAAACCTGCCCAATAAGCCCTTCCAGTTGTTTCTCCCACCCTTTCCCCTTTCCCCTTAGTCCTGTAAAGAGGCACCTTGGGAAAAGTGAGTAAAATTGTGAGAAGAGAGCCATTTGGGCACTCCCCTCTGATACCCTGTATTTAAACAATTCCAGCCAAAACAGACACGGCTTTCAAGGCATTCTTGGATGCCCAGAATCCAAAGCAGCAGCACTCGTCCACCCTTGAGTCTTACCTCATCAAGCCCATCCAGAGGATCCTCAAGTACCCACTCTTGCTGAAGGAGCTGTTTGCCCTGACGGACGCAGAGAGTGAGGAACACTACCACCTGGACGGTGAGCTGGAGGGCAGCCCAAAGGATTTCCCAGTCCCCTCCCTGTGAAAGTCTTAACGTTTTCATTTACAATCTGTTTCGTTCTAGTGGCCATCAAGACTATGAACAAGGTTGCAAGTCATATCAACGAAATGCAGAAAATCCATGAAGAATTCGGTGCCGTGTTTGACCAGCTGATTGCTGAACAGACGGGTGAGAAGAAAGAGGTGAGGCCCCCTCTCAAGGCACCTGTCAGGAAAGCCATGTTTTTGTTTTGTTTTGAACATGTGATTTGGTAAGTAAAATAGTTTTGAAAATACTGTGTGTGTTGGTGGAACTTTTATCTTTTATCCAAGGTTAATATATGAATTTTGTTACATAGCAAGTGTGTTTCTGATGCTCACCACTTCACCTGAAAGGGTGGTGGTGGGGGTGTCCTGTATTAAGTGTGAGAGTAAATTTCTTTTACTGTAGTTTGGGCTGTTTCTACTAGAAAATGAGAGCTATTCAAAGCTAAGTTCTCAAAGATGAGAATATTGTATGGCACATAATAGGTGCTCGATTAATATTTGTTGAATGAATGGATGCTTCAAGTTATTATGAATTTTTTTTTTTTTTTTAAATTGTATTAGAGCTTAAATTTTAAGGCACTTGGTTTTGTAGACACTATGGTCTGCAGTGGGAGCCCTAACTCCATTTTGAGGATTGACATAAGTTTCAGATGCCATTTGGGTTCTTTCTGACCATTAAACTAGTATTGTGGCTATGCATAGACAAGTTCTAGGACAGGCCTAGGGAGGGGCAATTTACCTTTAGGAAGAGTGTAATTGAAAGTAAATGATCCTCACAGAAGGAACTAGGGAACTTGCCTAAGTATGTCCTTGTCTAAATTAAATTAAGGTTGGGGTCTTGGTGTTGTTTGATAGCCACCTTGTGCTAAGACTCAGGCTACATAGTCATGAGTCACAGCCTAAGCAGACTACCACCTAGCCAGGTAGTCAAGGCCCAGAACAAATCCTGTAACCCTTTCCTATCTTCAGTTATGTATGTATCCCAATCATGGTCTTTTCCCTGCTTCTGTAGTCCTGTTTACAATAGTAACAAATCTGTCCACCGCCAATCATGATTTTGTGATGATTCCCCACCACTTTTTTTTTTTAAATATGTAAATCATATATAATTAGCTACACGGCCGTGACTCAACTTTCTCATGCTGATGGTTTTCCTTATCCAGAATGATTGTCTTTGTTCTGCCCAAGGCTTAAAAGTGTCTCTATTGAACATGTTTAAATTTGGGGTCTCTTTCCCCTAATACAGAATCCACCAAAACATCTACTTAGAAGAGACAGTAATAGGACAGATATACTTGGAAAGGATTTAGAGTGAGCAATTATTTGTGCTTGAGTCATTGAGAAGAGATTTCATACATAATAATATTCATCAGTGCCTCCATATACTCTGATTAGATTGGAATACTTTACTTGCTTTTGCTTTGTACATTTTTTTAAAAAAGATGAGCTGGAGAGGGAACTATGAAGAAAAACACTTGCTGTGATTGGAAGGGTGGTTAAAGGCAAGGGGGTGAGTAAGGCATGGTTGTTTATTCTAGAGGAGAGAAACCTACCTCATCTTCAAGATATAAATGGTTATTATCCAGTTTTATTTTTATGTCTATTATGAAACCAAGTTTTTTGACTGTTACAAGGTAATTTTCAGAAAAAGGTAGTCAAAGCTCTTACACAGATGTAATAGTAAACACTTGGTAAAGAATTTATTTTACTCAGATGATATGAGGGAATCAGGCAGATAGTTTAATGATTCAAAGGAAAAGTGAAAACAGCACTGATTGATAGGAGGTAGGTGCTCTGCTGGCACAGTATCCAAGGCATTTGACTACTAACCAGAAGGTTGGCAGTTCAAAGCCACCAGCCACTCTGCAGAGGAAGATGGGCAGTCTACTTCCATAAAGATTCATTGCCTCGGAAACCCAATGGGGGGGTCACTATGAGTCAGAATTCACTCAGGACTGTGAGTTAGGTGGGTTTTTTTTTTTTTTTTTTTTGAGTTAAAGAA